AAAAAAAAAAAAAAAAAAAAAAAAAAAAGATTGGAGCAAAAGAGAAAGGAGCAAAAGTCACGGTTCCGGCACGTTGATCGCTAGTCTCCAAGCGCTTCTATCCACCGCTAAATCCTTAAAGATATTCCAATCTTTAAGGTCTCTCTGAACCGACTCTTCCCAAGTGAGTTTAGGCCGACCTCTACCTCTCTTAACAACATCGGCCCGCTGTAGAACTCCCCTGCGCACCGGTGCATCAAGAGGCCTCCGTTGGACATGTCTGAACCACCTCAGCCGATGTTGAACCAATTTTTCCTCAATTGGGGCCACCCCGACCCTATCATGAATATCCTCATTTCGGATTCTATCTATTCTTGTGTGCCCGCAAAACCAACGCAACATCCACATCTCTACTACACTTAGTTGTTGGACATGTTGCTTTTTTGTAGGCCAACATTCAGCACCGTATAGCATCGCCGTGCGAATCGCCGTCCTATAGAACTTACCTTTTAGCTTTTGTGGTACCCTCTTATCACAGAGAATGCCCGAAGCTTGACGCCATTTCAACCAAATGGCTGCAATTCTATGCCTAACATCTTCATCAATGTCGCTATCCTTTTGAAGCATCGATCTTAAATACCGGAAAGTCTCCTTTTTTTTACAGAATTATCGTACAAATTATTCATAATATATATAATAAGATACATGTACATTTTGATTATTTCATCTAATAATTTTTCAATTATAATCAAATACTTATGTGGGTATTATTTTATTATAAAAATATTTGATCATTATTAAATATCACAATCACTTGTTACATACTAATAAGAATGTACTTTTTGTACAAATATGTGGGAAAATAAAGAACCATTGCATCTCATTCAATAGACTAATATATAAAATTTTATGTATGTTAAAACTATTAAAAATTGAAAAAACATAGATTATGGAAAAAATATGTAGGATTTTTTTTATTTATTTTTTTTCATATATATATATATATAGAGAGAGAAAGAGAGGATTATATGAGAATATTAAATAGAGAAAGAAATAAGAATGAATTTGGACAATTAAATCTGACATATCAATAGTCATGATCAAGTCAAATATTAAATATGACAGTCAAATATGTGTGACAATTTTGTAAGTAAGTGTACAATACATGGTCAAATATAAATTGATCATTAAATATTCATACTCATCCATACCACATGGGGCCACCACTACATTACCAACTCCCCATTCTCTCTCACACACTAACACACACCTACACAAATCGTCACTCACACACACCTGCACACACACAGTTACACACATACAATTTGACTATAGGTAGCGGCTGACAGATGAGAGGCGACACGACGACTGACGGAGGTGAACGGCTGACAGAGGTGAACGACGGACGGAGCTGAAGCGACGCGGCGGCAGACAGTGACGATGTGACGCAACAGAGGGCGGCGATGCGACGTGGCGGCAGACAGTGACGATGCGACGCAACGGAGGGCGGCGATGCGACATGGCAACTAATGGAGAAGATGATACGTGTTTGCGAATGGAGATTCGGCGTTGAATCGACTGACAGATATGAGGCGGCGAGGCGTCGGACAGAGATGAGGAGTTCTGGCTGACAGAGCCGAGGCGATGAGGAGGCGGATAGTGGCGATGCGACAACGACGACGGTCCTGCACGACTGCGTGTTGTGTGTGAGTCGAGGCTGGCAGTATGGTGACTGTTCGAGACAGCCGGATAAAAATTCCAACAGCTATATTTCAAACGGTTTTTTACTTTTGAAATATGCAATTTCTGTTGGAATTTTTATTTTCACCCCGTTGAAAAATCTATCGTTGGAATCGTCAAAATCTAACGAAAATTCCAATGGAAAACTCATTCCAATATTTTTGTTGGAATTTTCGTTGGAATCCATTGAAATTTTTCAAAAGAAATAATAGCAATGAAATATGAGATATTTATTGGAATTTCCGTTGGAATAATTTTATTGGAATATATTTTTGTTGGAATTCCATTATTTTCTTATAGTATAGTGGTAGAAAAGAAAAAAAAAAATAGTTTTTATTGGAAGTCTGGTGTTCAAAACTATTATTACGCAAATTGTGATTATAACTTTCCTTATGAGTAACTTTTAAAATATTTTCTTGATTAGTAAGTCAAATATTTCAAACGAAATGTCAACTTATTATTTAAAATTTATGAACAACCTCTATATATCACAATACTTTCTTCCTTTCAATATTTTGTTTTATGTTTTGAACTGACTAGTTATTAAATAAAACAAGACTTATTAAATGAAACAAGACTCGTGGACTTGGTTCGACTTAACTTGTTAAAGTTCAAACTCTACTTGACTCGACTTGGTTGTCAAATGAGCCAAACTTGAGCTCGTTTAGTTAACAAACTGATTTGAGTCGATTCGTTAATTAAGGCTTGAGTATGCCTCATTACCCTATTTAAATTACTTTGAAAATTAACATCTGAAAATTGTGTTTTTATTTGTTTGCTTATCTTGGAAGAACCTGGAGGAGTGCAATTGGTGCTTCCTTCAATCATTAAGTATAAAGCAAACAGAAACACAACAAGGCTTCTGCTCACAAATTAAGATGAATGGAACAAATGCTTTCATGAGAATATCTAAAGTTCAATAGTGAAGCATACCTTAAAGCCTACACTTTATATGATTGCATAAATGCTGATAAAATTGACAAATATATCTTTGGATTATTCTCTTGCAACATGATGGAGCTTAAAGGTTATTGTCCCTTGAGATATAACAAGAATTTATTTAAATTTGGGGGGCTTTTTAGAAGTATAACATTATGTTATGTTGGCGACAAATTAGCGAAAATAGCTATTTTCACACTGCTGGAATGAAACCATATGGAGTTTATTCCACTTCCCCAGCTCAAAATTAAAGAAGATGAATAATGTAAGACAATTCTTACGGTCGTATATTTTCAATAAAATTCGCGTAATGAATTGAAATATTATATTTTTGTTTATTATTATTTATAATATGAGAAATAATAATACTCTTTATCAAGTTTTGAAACAATGTTATAGAAAAAATAAAGAATAATATATATGAATATATGATATATATATATATATTATATTCTAATGTTTAAAATGTGAATTGTAATCTCCTACCAAGGGAACAAATGTACTTAACTGAAGTTTCACGTCGGCAGATTCCACAACTATCATTTAAAATTTGTTTGATTAATTTGTAAATTAAGGCGTGTCCATATCAGGCAAATTAGCATATATTCCAAACTACCTTTTCATTTCCTCTTTTGGTATTTTTTTCACCTAACTTTAGAATATAACTAGTACAGAGCTCGTGCGATGCACGGAGTGCACAATTTTAAGTCATTTACCCATTCTTAAAATTATATAAATGAATAAAAAAATATACGGGATATATATAGTACGTGATCTATAATAGGCCAAAATGTGAACATGGGTGATGCACAAGGTGCACAATTTTAAGGTCATTTATTAGTGCATACCCCGTGCGATGCACGTGATACATATAATAAATCAATTATTTCTATAGGATTTGTACGTCTAGACAAAAAAACAATAGGCTTGGAAATCCATATTTTACATCTTCTAATAAGTGGCGTTTATTTAAGCCAAAAAATTACCATTTTAATTAATATATAATTCCGCTAACACGTCATACTAATATTTATTTGATTTTAGAATACATATTTATTCATTGATATAGGAAAAAATAAAAATTTTATTAATTATTGTTCACCATATAATACTCAATTATTATTTTATTATAAAATTTACAATCATATAATTAATTATTATTATTTATAAAAGTTATAGAAGTAGTATTCTTTATGTAATGAAATTCAAAATAAAAATTTTGAGTATAAATGTTTACAAAATACACACATATGTTTTTTAGAATTCAATTTTCTCATAATAATTCTTTTTTTTTAAAAAAAAAAATGATTTAGCAATTGTCAAAAAATAAATCCCTTACATAATCAAGAGATTTTTTCTAATTTTCATCCTAATGATTTATAGTTTATTTAACATACTATGCAATAGAAAAATATTTTACAATAAGTTCATTTTTGAAACATAACAAAAAAAAAGTGATGAAAACACTATCATAGTTGACAATATTATACAAATAAATAACATGTCGAAATTTTGAAGAATAACTATAATTTTACTATCTAACCATCAATAAAATCATTTAATGATGTGATCATTATCTTTTAAATAATAAATAATATTAATTTTTTTAAAAAATATTAGTGTTATATAATTAAATAAAGATTAAAAAATATTACTCGACAAATATTAATTATAATGGATATCAGTAAAATAATTACATAAATTATTTAAGGAAAAAATCATGAAGATCATATTTGGATAGTAAATGTAAATATGCAAGCATTTAATGTATTAGTAAAAAATTTCCAAATAAAGTATGCATTAAATGTGTGTTGACTTTTCTTGCTACTGTTTTTGATAAATATGTTGGCTTTTAATATATATATAGATAGATTTATATATGCTGCCAAAATGTGGGTATATATAAAAGCAGTGCGTTTAATAGGGACACACAATTTTTGCTGCCCGACCCGATATTGATTCGGGTCAGTTCATTGGGTTAATCATAAAAACTAGATGTATTATACATACATGTGTGTTAATTGATCAAATTATGTATAAAAAACTAAAATTAAAAAAAAAA